AGGGTTCAACAGATCCTCCCCCAGGAGGGTACCTTGCCATTGGGGTCCTTGGGTTGGAGGTGGAAGGCCCGGATGATGTAGACCCTGACGAGACACTCCTGGGGTCCCCTGGCCGGGAGCTGGTGGAACTGCCGGGGCGGCGCCGGGACGCGGGGGTCGTCTGGGAGGGGGTAAATCTTGAAGGAACCCTGGGAAGGACAGATGTGTTCACAGCTGCACTTGCAGACCCACAGGTGGAGATGGGTCTTGGGTGAACAAGCTGCCAACGACCGCCTGGGTGGTTGCATAGAACCATGGTGTGGTTTGGGTTGGGAGGCACCTTTAAGGGCTACCTTGCCCACCCCCCCTGCAGTGAGCAGGGACATCTTCAGCTAGACCAGGTTGCTCAGAGCCCTGTCCAACCTGACCTGGAGTGTTTCCAGGGATGGGGCATCTAAAACTGCAAGGATGCTAGACCAGACCATGTCCTGCCAGGCTCCTCATGGTCAAGGGAGCCAGGAGCAGGGTGGACAGCTGCCCAGACCCTTCATCCCTTGCATGAACACTGATGGACACTCTCTCACACCTCTGCACTGAGCTCCTCTGGCCTCTACACCCTTCACCTCTTCTGCTTCACTTGCCTTTGGGCCTTCAGGCTACCAGAGAGGTGTGAAGGAGCCTGGAGGCCAATGCCAATCACCCTCACCAAGGCTTAGGCTGAGAGTTTCTCTGCAGGGACAGTTCCTGGGTGAGGCTGCAGGTTCCAGGGAGAGGGTTGGGAGCAGGAGAGAGATAAAGCAAAAACTGACAAGTGTTTTATTCACTGGGGCTGATTTCCTCCCAGTGAAGTGGCAGGAAACAGTCCCTGGTGTTGTCTGGGGGAGGAGAGTGCTGGGTAACAGCAGCAAGGGAAAGAAAAACAAACAAACAAACACAAAAAACCCCAAAACCCACACACAAAAACCCTAAAACAAACAACAAACAAACAAAACTTAGAAAAATTAATCCCTTTGTCTTGCAAAGAGGTTGATGGTCAAAAAGAGCAAAGGGTGCATCACTCGGGGCAGACACCTCCAAAGGGAGAGCTCTGAGCACCAGGGTGGGGAGAACATCAGTGCCCACCCAGGCTCCCAGCACCACCCTGCAGGAAGAAGCTGCTCCACTGCTCACAGCCAGCTTTGCCTTAAAGTGGGTTTTTGCTCCAGGGTGATGGAACAACCTAGAGGGCTTGAAGCATGCAAGGAGTGATCAGGGTCATGAAGATGATCAGGGTCATGAAGATGATCCTTGGGCTGGAGCAGCTCTGCTCTGGAGCCAGGCTGGGAGAGTTGGGGTGTTCCACCTGGAGAAGAGAAGGCTCCAGGGAGACCTGAGAGCACCTTCCAGTGCCTGAAGGGGCTCCAGGAAAGCTGGGGAGGGGCTTGGGACAAGGGCAGGGAGGGATGGGAGCAGGGGGAAGGGTTTCCAGCTGGCAGAGGGAGCTGGAGCTGAGATGGGAGGGAGGAATTCTGGGCTGTGAGGGTGGGGAGAGCCTGGCCCAGGTTGCCCAGGGAAGCTGTGGCTGCCCCATCCCTGGCAGTGTTGAAGGGCAGGTTGGATGGGGCTTGGAGCAGCCTGGGCTGCTGGGAGGTGTCCTTGCCCATGGGAGGAGATGATCTTTAAGGTCCCTTCCATCCCAAACTAGTCTGGAACTGTGAGTTTCTAAGGTGGTCACTGCTGGGGTCTCAGCAGCCAGACTGCACAGGCAGGTTGTTCAGACTGGACTCACTGGTCCACTCTTATGGCCCAATTCTCACCCACGTCCTACCCAAAAATAGGGTCCATTGTCAGCACCCCACTCAGCAGCAAGACCATCCCAGCAGCAGCATGTGTTGGCAGAAAGGGACACCATCCCACCTTGAACTCCCCCACGACCGAGGGGTCGTCGCTCGAGTCCTGCGAGCGCCCGCGGTACAGCTTGAAGGTGTGGCAGAAGTCAGAGAGCTGCTCAAAGTCCTCCACCTTCTCCAGCTCCGTCTCGTACACCTGGGGAGGGAGAGATGGGGCTGGAGGGCAGAGACTGCAGAGGTGAACCAGGAGAGTGTCCCCATCCAGCTGGGACAAGACTTGACCCAAGCTCCCTGTTGCCCCCAGGATGGCGATGCAGAGCAGACCTTTGGCAACCCTACAATAAACACCAGCACACCATGGAAGACCCCAAATAAGCCAAGGTGTCACTGAGGGCTTTTTATCAGCCAAAGAGACCTTCCTGCTGGGAAAGACCAGGCAAGGTCTTCTCCATTTTAGCCCTGTTTGGGTCTCTGTGCTGATTATTTGCACTTCTCCTAACAGGGCACCCAAACCTGCCCCTTCCCTCAGCACCCCCTGCTTTTCCTGGCTGTTCCCAGGCAGTTTTCCAGGTGGCAGTTCCCCACCTCCTCTGCCACTTCAAAAAGCAACCATTTCTTGCAGGCTGCAAAGGAGAAAGTTACCAGAAAGGGCTGTACAAAGAAAAAGTGAGTATTCAAAGTAGTTCTTTTGGAAAACAAAAGCACCTGCTCTCTGGGAAAATCATCAAAAGTAATCCTTTTTTTGTTTGTTTTTTTAAATCTGGAAGAAAAAAAAACCTAAACAGTCCAAAAAAAAAGTTCAGAACTTGTGGAAAAACCCACCACAGAGAGCAGGTCCAACGAGCCAGCACCAGCCAAGGCCACTTACCTTCAGGGTGTCAAAGCCCTTCTCTAAGTAGCAGCCACACTTCTCCCTCTCTCCCGTGGACGCGTAGAATTTGCTCCACCAGTCAATGAATTCTTCCTCCTGCAGGCAAGGACACCAAAGTTACACCCCAGCAAAGCCCAGCCATGAACAGCAGCATCTCCAAGAACTGCCAAGGGTGAACTTTTCCAGCCCCACAGCCCAGCCTGGCTCTGGGGGGTCTGTGTCCTGCAGAGGTGATGAAGGTACCGTGACCTCGCCCTGCAGCTCCTCACTCCCTGCTTTCATGGGGCCACTGGGATGTTCCCAGCCCACATCCAGCTGCTGCAGCCTCAGCAACACCACAGGTCTGCACCTATCAGCAGAGAGGATGATTCTCCATGGGAGGATGAGGCTTACAAGCTCACAAGAATCCCAGACTGGTTTGGGTTGGAGGGGATCTTGCAGATCATCCAGTTCCAACCCCCCTGCATGGGCAGGGACACCTCCCACCAGCCCAGGCTGCTCCAAGCCCCATCCAACCTGCCCTTCAACACTGCCAGGGATGGGGCAGCCACAGCTTCCCTGGGCAACCTGGGCCAGGCTCTCCCCACTCTCACAGCCCAGAATTTCCTCCTCATGTCCAACCTGAATCTCCCCTCTTCAAGTTTCAATCCATTACCCCACAAGAAGGACCTTGCAGGGTTTTTGCCCAGCTGGGTGGGGTCTCCCCAAGGCCACACGGGGGATGAGATTACCCCTCATGCTAACTTGGTCCTGACAGCCTCAAATTCAGGGGTGGGGGGAGCTTTGCCTGGAGGGTCTGGGGTTCCTGGGGTGGGAACTGCCTTTCTGGTTTGTATCCCACCCCCTCCCCAACCTCCCACCCCAACAACACGAGCAAATGGATAAAGCACAACAAGCACAAATCTCCTCTGCACAAGAAGTGCTGCCCCCCATCTCAGGGAGAAACAAACTCTCTTCTCACTGAGATTATATGAAGATGTGGGCAAATCTCAACCCACAGGAAGCTTTTCCAAGGAGCATTTCCCCCACCTGCCCCACAAAGTGCCTGGCAGCTCCAGGGCTGCTGTTCCCAGGGCAGAGCTGCCTGCCCTGCCAGCCCCAGCAGGTTTTTAGAAGGGCACCATTTCTGCCATTTCTAGCAGCAGAGATGAAGGGGCTTTGCCTGTGATTCATGAAACATTCCTGAAAAAAAATAATGATCTCTTATTTTAGAAGTCCACAAAATTCCATCCCACTGACCTAATGGAGGAATCATAATAGAGGTTTATTGGGTTTGTGTTTGAAGCCAACGGTGCAGGCTTGAAATTGCTGCCTTGAATAGACACTGTTCTTAATAGAAACATGACATAAATTAACTCTGAGGCCTCTGCTGCCTCCCAGTTGCTGAAAAAGAAAATATAAAAAAAATAAAATTGCCTTTCATCACTTCCCCTGTTTTACAAAAGCTCCAGGGTGACCATCAGGGCTTTCTCCTGCCATTCCCCCAGGGCTGGGTTACAAGGAAAGCACTGCAGCTAATCTGACAACTTCCCCACAGCATCTTCTGCAGGCCCAAGGCACAGAGTTTGGTCAGATGCTGTTTGCTGGTGGCTACTGGAGTTACCAAAAAAATAATAATAATAATCAAAAATTGGGAAGAGTGGGGAAAAAAATCAAAAAAAGAGGGAAGGGAGCAGCTGGAATGTGAATAGCCAAGGACCTGGATCCATCTGCCTGCAGATGGGAAAGCCAGGGAGCACAGCAGCTCCACCCCATGAGGGACTGGATTCAGGGAATTCATTTAGCAACCAAGGCCATAGCCCAGATCCCCCCAGTGTTTCACCTTGGGCAGGCACAGGAGGGTCCTCAGAGTCGGGGTCTGTGCCCTGGAGCAGGTGGGTGAGGGGCCTCAAGCCTCCTGCAGGGCCTCCCCACCTTCTGCATGGACCCCACGGGCAGCATCACTTGTGGGTAAATCCCACCCTGAGTGACTGAAGCCCAACATTTCAGCTTGGAGGGAACCTGCCCAGAGGTGGGAGCTGCTGTCATGCTTGTCAGGAGGTTTGTTGTCCCCCCATCCCCATGCACTCCCTCCTGACCACCACTCCCACAGAGCAGGGACCACCATAGCCTGGACAACTGCATCCCAAGTGCCCTGAGACTGGAGACAGGGCTGCAAACACCTTCCCAGTCCATCCTGACATGAAGTCAAGACTTCTCAAGCTCCCGGGTGCCCAGCTTTGGGTTCTGCTGCTACAGTGGGAAGGTCAATGGAAAAGGAGCCAGGATCATCTCACCAGGCAAGAGCCTGAACGGGACCATTTCATCCACTTTCCAGCTGCTCCATCAGCATCCAGGAAAAGAGCAGCAGGAGAGCCCCTAGCAGGGCTGAGTCCTGGAAGAGGTGAATGCCTTCTGGCCAAAAGCAAGGCATTTCCAAAAATGAAGAAATTCAGATTTGTTTTTAAAATGCCTTTAAAACCAGGATTTCACCAGCAGCTTCTCACATCTCTGGGGTTCTGGCTTGGACCGTCCTCAGACTCATGCTTCACTTCAAGTGTGTAGATCCCTCTGAAGTCAATGAGGTTCTTCAGCCACAGCTTTCAGGGCATTCTGGATCAGGCCTTGGGCTGAGCAGAGCCAGCAGCCACCATTTGTCACCTTCAGATTATCAGGAAGGAGATTTAAGCTGTGCCTGATCTCCAGGTGGGATTTTTACCCAGGGCTGCACTCACTGACCTTGAGGGTCTTGAAATTCCTCCTTCTCCTAGACCCCAAAACTCACACCTGTGTCATCCCAGCAGCTCTCAGGATGTTTTCCAGCTGATTTAGTTTCACCCCAGGGAAGGAATGCATTGGTTTTAACCTCATTTTTACCAGGGAGGCTGAGCCAGAGGTTTCCTGCAACTGCAGCCCCATCCCAGTGGCTGCTTTCCCAGGTGGGGCCAGCAGGAGTCTGGGCTCAGCCAGCACAACCCAGTTTTCACAAAATACCTGGAAATGGCCATTTTGGTCAGGAGGAAAAGGAGATGTGGAAACCTGAGAAGTCACCATGCAGTGGAGATGTTTGGCTTCTGGGGCAACTTAGTCCTTATCATCATCGCCTTAGAGTTGGGGGAAACTGAGGCACAGAGAGGTTAATGTCCAGGAGAGCTGAGCAGGTGTGGAATCATAGAGTGGTTTGGGTTGAAGGGGACCTTGCAGATCATCTAGATCCAACCCCCTGCATGGGCAGGGACACCTCCCAGCAGCCCAGGCTGCTCCAAGCCCCATCCAACCTGCCCTTCAACACTGCCAGGGATGGGGCAGCCACAGCTTCCCTGGGCACGACACAACTGAAGCCTTAATCCCTAAGGTTGCTCTCCTAGTGATCCCACACTCTTGCCCCTGGGAATACAGAGAATTACAGCAATAAAAACCCCACCACTTTTAGAGAAGCTGCCTCCACCTCCAACGTACTCACCCCTCACATCTGGGAGGCAGATTTCCTGCCATGGGGAAGCTCTGCAGATGGGATGAGATGTTCCCTCTAGAACCAGCCTGGACACCCCCAGCTGCAGCTCCCCAGCTGTTGGTTACCAGGCTCTTGCAAGGGATGGCACCTTGCACCCCAGCCTTGGGGAGCCTGGCAGCAGCACCAGCCTGGCCAGCTCAGCTCATTCTCCAGCTCAACTAGCCCAGCCCAGCCCTGGGTGCAGGACATCCCAGTGGAGAGGCCATGGCAAACAGCTGGAGAGGACACAAACTTCTCCAAACACCACAGGTGAGCTCCTTGGGGTTTTCCAACCACGTCCTAAATCCCTCTGCTGCTTCTGCCTCCCTGTGCCAGGGGTCAGCAAACCAAGCTGCTCACTGCTGCATCCTCCAGGTGCTGCTGCAATGCAATGGTTGCAGCTCAGCCCCCCCAGCCACCCAAGCAAGGTGGCAGCTCCCCCCACCCCAGGGAGGCTCCTGCTGCCCAAGGGGCTCCAGCACCTACAGATGCAGAGCAGGAGCCAGTGCAGAAGTGCCTGGGAGGCAGGGAAAAGACAGGTTTTCCCTGCTAGGAGGTCATGTCCTGCCCAAGGCACTGGGGTGGAGGTGTCACCAACTGTGCTTGGGACTTCACACCCACCTACCTTCCTGAGGGGAAGGCTTTTTCATGCTAACAACTTCCCCACGTCCTTGAACTCCAACCTCTTTGCAAGAGGGACCCACCTTTGGGTTACCCTTGGATTAACCTGCTCCTTCAACCTGGTTCCTCCAACCTGGCCCAGGGACCTGCCCAAGCCCTGAGCAGCACGTGCAGGAAGCAAAACCACTCAGGAGCAAACCACACACCTCCACCCAGGGAGGCTGCAAGAGGCCTTGGCTTGTCCTTCCCTTAAGTTCACACCTCAAGGTGTGAGCAGACAGATGTTCAAAAGAGAAATTATCTATTTCTGCTGATTCCCCTTTTCCACTTTGCTGTTAATTTTGCTCAGAAGTGGATGCAACTGTTGGGTTTCATTGGGTTTTTCCCCATCCTGCCCAGCCCACCTGAAGGCAGCCTCACACACACCTTCTTGCCACCATTTTCCCTCCAGCCCATGGCTTCTATTTTGGAGATGCTTCCCTCTGCAAGCCCACCTGCTGGAAAGCCAGCTGGCCATGAAGGTTGGTCCAGGAGAGCTTTCACCCATCACCTGGGGCAGTGCCAAGGGCCTCCCTCAAGCATGCAGGGAACACCAGGAGAAAAAAAGTGACAGCAAGAACATGGCAGGGGCAGTGCTGGGCTGCAGAGGGGCTTGGAGGCTGCTGCCAGCAGGAGACATCCAACACCAACAGCTCTTCCAACTCACAGTAACAGCATAAGCCATAAAATATGTGCTCTGATTTGGAACCAGCAGACACAGCAAAGAAGCAATTATTCCAAATAGTTTACAGATTTCTGACTTTTGTTGTTGCTTGGCCTGGGTTCACTTTGCTAACTTGTCATTTGATGGGTTATTTGTACTTCTTGCAACCACAGCCTTGCAAGCCAAAATCATGGTGCAAATAACTGCATAGAAAGCACCTTGAAGTGCTTCTCAGGGCAGCACAGAAGCTCCTCGTTGCAGTCCCATAGCCCAGAGGTGTCTGAGGGCTCCTGGTGAGCT